GAATAAATATCAATGGGTAATTGGCGCAAAACGTCTATACCTTTCAACTTTATTGTGTAAAACGTCCTCACCTTTCATTTTTTGGCATTTTTGTCCTCAAATCAACCTTTCGTTGCGATGAAGGTCCTTCCGTCCAATTACCATCCATTTTGCCGTTAATTAAAGAGAGAGACTCAATTTCTTGCTGGTCAACAGGGGTAAAATCGTCCTCACCCAACTGAACCCTTCATTTTCATCTTTTTCTTCGAACAACAAGAGGCAGTTCCCATTCCATTCCCTTCTAGTTCTTCAAAAATTTCCATTTATCTTCCATTTCTACAATTTTTCCTCCATTCTCCTCTCGTATGGGCGCGTATCAGCAGTCGGCGTAGTGGAAACCTACGTTGAGAGTTTTTCCAACAAGCGACGCGACGGTAAGAATCATTATTTGTCTGTATTTTTGTTTTCCATTTCATATTTTGGTGCTTTGCATGATTGAGTGTATGTGTAGGATTCTGATAAAGTTTATTATTGTTACACAGGACTTCAAGGAACAACATGTTTCTTCCGTTTCTGAGAAAGCCCGGCAATGATCAACCCACCTCCAGCACCTTGTTAGGATGAAAACTCTCTGCCAAGTTCTATTAATTTTTTGGCTTTTATTTTTGTTGTTCAGTACACAAATTGTCATCAGGTAGTGGATACAATATAGCACTTTAGGAACCTGTTTTTGGTGTTTAGGAACCTATTTTTGATGTTCAGAACTTATGTTGGCTGCAGAGTGGATATTTTGCACATTTGAAATGAATTGTATCTATTTTTGCTTCAATTTTCGTTTATCTTAGCTTCAACAGGTAGTGATTATTTTTGTTTCAGTTTTCTGTCAATTGGTGGATGAATTGTGCTCAAATTCTGTGATAGAATTGTATATTTGGGGACTTTTGAGTTGGTGTGTATCAACATGTGGTATATGGAAGAAAAAAGGGAACGCTCTCACCAAAAATTTTTAAAAAGGTAGGGATGTTATTCGCAAATTTTTCTAAAAGGTAGGGACGTCAATCGCCAATACTTTTTATAGGTAGGGATGTCTTAAGAAAAATTATAACTACGTAGGGATTATTAACGCAATGTTCATTAGATTCCCAAAAAAAGTGAACAGGACCCGTCATCTTTACCAATAAGCCAAAATGAGCCAGTATCACTGAAATGATAAATACACAGCACCCATTTCCACTTGATCTTCGTCATTTACCCCATGGTCATAAACTAGAAATGAAAACTTAGTAGTTGTCTCTATAAATTGACCACCCATTCAATACATGTCTTTCTACATTTTTCTAGAAACCCAACATTAGAGCAGCAATGGTAGACCTGGTGGTTGGATTTCACCATATATGTTCTTCACGACAGTTTTTTCCTTCATTTAATATAATAATTTAAAGTATTTTCACACCCATTTTTCAGCTACTGTTACTATGTGGACTACGTAGAAGGCGGGAAGAAGGGTTCAGTTGGATGAGGACGATTTTACCCCTGTTGACCAGCAAGAAATTGAGTCTCTCTCTTTAATTAACGGCAAAATGGATGGCAATTGGACGGAAGGACCTTCATCGCAACGAAAGGTTGATTTGAGGGCAAAAATGCCAAAAAATGAAAGGTGAGGACGTTTTACACAATAAAGTTGAAAGGTAGGGAGTTTTGCACCAATTACCCAATATCAATCAATGAAAGTAAAATTTTTATCATTTAAAATTTTAAGAAGAAAACAATTGTCATCAGAATATGTTCACTCAAATATTAACAATGTTCTTTATGGCAAGATATTTATTCTGCTTCTTCTTGTAAATGGATATTGAAATTTAGGCCATCCATTTATATACAAATACATAGATAAATACATGCAAACTACAAACTACATATATAAAGTACACATGCACACAAAACACTATAACAAACAAATGAAGAAAGGGTATTAAATTTTCGATTTTAGGTTTAAGTGATAAAATTATGGACTAAACATCATCATTTTTCAAAGAAAGAAATAATTCACAAACATTTAACTCTTGTATAAATCCAAAAATTAAGAAGTCAAAATTTTACAGCTTATTATTGCCACAATGGACTAGATTTCTCAAAGGTTAACCAACATTTGTTTCCATAATGTGATTTGCATTAGAAAATAACCAATTATCTCATACAAATTTCGGACACAATAAAATTAATTTACAGAACCATAATACCATAATCATCTTTACAAATAGAAAGAAATTTGTTTAAAAAGTGCACTCAGCATCTCATTTGACAGCATATAGGCATTTTGGTAGAGGGTAATTATAATTCCACGTCACAATAACCTCCTTAACTTCACAGGAAACTTTCATTATTGTATGTCCGAACAGTAATGTGGCAGGAAGACGAAACTAAATGAACATAAAGCACAAATATCCCTCATCTTTCTGAAGAAAGCAAATAGAAGAAGTTCTATTCTAATTAAGGCATCTTATCATTTCTTAATGGAAGCTTCTATTCATTTATTTTCATAAAATTGGACAAAAATTTCTATCAAATTCTTATAAACCAAATCTATAAGATAATTATCGATAAAATTAAATCAATCAATAATAACTATAACTCCAGATTCCAGAAAAAAGAATACATTCCAGATTCAACCAAAACTCAAACCTGGCGAATCCATGGGTCAAGTTCAGCTATGGCGGTTGCGAGCGTTTAAAGCTTACGATAACGGCCAACGTCCGTGATAGCGGGGTTGTTTATTGATATTTAATTAAATAGTATTCCAAAAATCGTACAGATTAGAACTAGAAAAACATACACAACTAGAACTATAACAAGAACTAGGGGTACGAACTTTCATTTTGAATGAAAAAATCGTTCCAAAATCTGCGAAATGCCCTAATTTATTTTTCAATTAAATAGGCAATATATATTAACAAAATACCAATATTCAATTTACAATTAAAGTTAATTAAACAAGCATTATTATATGAATAAAATTAAAATTATTTATGTGCTTGTATATTCCACTTTTTCGCAATCGATTTTTTGTGAACGAAAAGTGAAACATTTTATTAATTAAATAAGTTTTGTTGAAAGATTCCTTATGACATTAAGGCCAATTTTCCTACAAATTTATCCACCATTAATTGACCAAACTCTCAAATCAATTGATTAGAGAGGAAAAAAAGAAAAGAAAAAGAAAAAGAAAATCAAGAAGAGGGACAAAGCACCAGTCAAAATGTTTTCACTTGCATTAAATCAGTAAAATTGAACATTTATTATTTTGTTACATTATGTGCTAAAAATCAACAAGTATCATGAAGGTAAAATGGTCAATATGTTTAAGGAATGTAGCAGTTTCGAATCACCTTCATTGCATTTGTTTTGGAAAAAATTGTTGAAATACAAAAAATTGTAAAAAAAAATATTGCTCTTAAAGAGTTTCGAATATAGGACCTCCAATTCAATAGATGAAGAGCTAACCAGTTGA